AAGGTCCAAAACGTGACAAACAGAATAAATTAATTAGTTATTGCTACTGTGTAGATCACAATAAATGCTTGGTGCTCCATCATTTAAATAATTATTATGAGGTATTAATGTTAATATTCATAAAATGTAGTCCAAATCCACTACAATATCTGAATACCAAAAAAGAAGATAAGGACATAAAAGTACAGCATGTACACAATGCCAGCCAATGGGTGTAAGAAATGGATTTTTAAAACACCACTCAAAAGTAACATAACAGAGTCAAAATCCATTTTAGTGGCACTGCCATATGTGTCAGGTCTCTCTGAACATCTTACTAGAGTATTTAAGACACATGACATTAACACCTACCACAAACCATACAACACCTTAAGGTACCTTCTATGTATTGAGGACTGACCCTTGGATGAGAAGCACAGACACTCTGTAATGTTCCATGGCCTAAATGCTTTATAGGATGCTACTGTACACTTTAAAACTGTTGAGGAAGGCAGTCTGAAAAATCAGGGGTTTTTTTGAGGGGATATTCATGTCAGTCTGCCTTCAGACCAACATTTCATTGAAAACCTTGGCTAATTGGCCTGTTGTAAAAGTGAAACCTTAATAGTGACAGACTCGAGCTGTTCAGTGCAGATGGGTAAACCTCCAGTGCCACCAAGCATCATGGCACTGACATGCATTTTTCACTCCTACTCTCACCTGATTGGCTGGTTATTTGACTGACTGTCAGGATGACTGATGGTGTTGGTGCTCATTTCCAAGGTAACACACTGATGCCACACCTGAAAGCTCCCCAATCAGCATTTCTCATGAACAGAGTGAGCAGGACAGTATTGTGTTCATCTATCATTCTGTAACTGCTGCAGCTCCCCAGGGTCTCACATTTCACCTCATACAAATGCTACTGTCACCTGACATGTAAGCTTCTATGACCTTCTCATGTAGGCTAAAGGAAATCCATAATAACCTGCCTACTAAAGGATTGTCATCATCATACACCACCTCTGTATTTTCAGTAGCTATGCTTTATGAATGTTTTTTTTCAGCTATTACACTATTTCCCACAGTATCCACTTTTTCTCCTTAATATTGTAGCCATCACATTTGAATTAAAGTGAACAATCTGAAATGTAAAGCTGGCCTTTCAGTGGAGGATTTAGGCACTAAAATAGAGATTGCTGTATATGCACATCAGATTTTGTTGATTTAGCCAATAAGCGGAAATATGACATGCAGAGAGCACTTATCACAGCCTTTAATGATTTCATTACATTGGGGGGTCAAGGTGTTGGACATTTAGTGTTCAATTTTCCTGTTGGATGTGGAGGTGTCAGCCTGTCCACAGTTTGCATTTGACTTTTTTTTTTTTTTTTTTTACTGCAAATGATTGTAAATATAAACAAACAAAAACATAAATAAACTGGATGGCAACACTTATTTTCCAGTAAATGGCAAATAAAATTGAATAACATTTAAGCTGCAGCAAGACTCCAAGAAATTGAAGCTACAGTATGAAACTTTTTAAAAATATTTTTGTTGTAGAAATCAGCTAAAAAACATGAAATTAAAAAGCTCTTGGCTGCTCATTTTGCTCTTTTCCAGTCATTTAATGTTTAATCTTGGGTACCTCTAGATTATCTTGACACCCCTCATAACTCCAAATAGTCTGTAATTATTTAAGAATGATGAAACCAGAGAGCCTCTTCCTAAAAACAAAAGGACAGTTTGTGAATGTGCACAACTCTTGTTGCTGGTGTTGTGTCACAAGTGAACAGCACAACAAACCGCAACAGCATTAATTAATATGAATTTCTCCTCCATAGATAGGTAAACAATGGTATATGTACCGATGAAAAGAGATGTGTAACACTCTAAACAAAGTGGGTAATTGAGAAACCCCATATTTTAACTGGCATAATGCAGACATAGTAACTTCTCCAGCCTTAAAACAATTCTCTCTAAACTTTTTAAACTTACCATTAAGTCCCACTGAGTAGTAGAAACATCACTCCCTTTCAAGTAGGTCCAAGGTCTGTAAATCCAACTGGTGGTCGCTGCGTCTTCCCCCACACGACCACATACAGTCCCAGATTAGAAAAATAAATTCCAACAGGTGGTGTAGCACCAACAATAACATCATGATGGTTAACCAGCAACACATCACATGCAGCAAACACCCTGGCCTCAAGCAGTCAAAACAAACAGGTACTGTGGTCCAGGGGAATCCAGTGTTGATCAGCTGATCATTCACCGCCGTATGATTATAACCATTCTAGGAGATTCTTAAACTATCACTTAAGACTTTATTTTGTGTGAAAAAAAATGACTTGTGAACCAGAGTTTGCAAGACTTGTTGCTTCTGCATAGAAGTACTAGAACATACATAGACCTCATTTTTTAGCTTTAGGTCACGTTTAAGATGATAATTCACTGTTGTAACATTGTAGATAAGTTAGAAAACAAGGAAAAGTGCCACAGGCTCTTTAATGTGGAGAGGTGCTGTCAAAGCCTCCTGTGACCCAGACTCATTAGCAGAACTGGCAGATATTATTCCATATTCTAAAGGGTTATAAGCCAGATTGGCCTCTAACCAGTCAGAGATTTTCAATTATTTGTGCTTGATCAGTAAGTTTTATTGTGTTTACATATATTGTAATTTCATAACAACTAATCTGGAGAGGGCAGCAAGGTGGCACGGTGGTTAACACTGTTGCCTCACAGCGAGAAGGTTCTGGGTTCGGCTTGTGTGGGTTCTGTCTGGGCACTCCAGCTTCCTCCCACAGTTCAAAGACATGCGGCTTAGGTTGATTGGCGTCTCTAAATTGCCCGTGTGAGTGTTTATCTGCATGTCAGCCCTGTGATAGACTGGCATCCTGCCCAGGGTGGACCCCGCCTCTTGCCCTATGACGGCTGGGATTGGCTCTAGCCTCCTGAGGCCGTCTTCAGGATAAGTGGTATACATAATGGATTGGATGATTCTACATGTCATTTTTGTACGAATGAAACATATGTATGCAATTACAATTTCTGAACTTTCCTAAAACCAGCAATCTGAGAATCCCATCTACTTCTGGCTGGCCAGTTTCTCAAGCTCACCTATTTTAGTCCTTACTTTAGTCTCCTGCTTAACTTGGACCTGAGCAAACTGTCAGTGTCATTTGCCACTGAATTTTGCCTATATATTTCAATATACCACAGGACAAGGCACAGTATCATTTATTTACAAATACTGTATATTGTTCTGCAACACTCAAGGACAAGGCTCCTGTTCATTGATGGATCACTACTACTAGACTACTACTACTAGTTGCAGATCTGATCAGAAATCATTTTAACCTTTCAATGAAAACATAACCTAACCTTTAATAACAAGCGTCAAGCTTAAACGGCTGGCTCTTCGGAGTATTACGGTAGAAGGCGGGTCTTGTTGGAGCGTGGCCGGTTGGGCGTGTTTTTGTCTTTGTGTATATGTTTGCTGCTGCACGGCAGCACAGCGGTGGGAGCAAAGTCGCAGACGCACAGAGAGAGCAACTGTCCGCTGCAGGAGCGGTGAGCGTGTCCAATGCGCACAAATTAAACCATCTGTGTGACTGCCAGGGTTTCCCCTCCGGTCCTGTTGGATTTACTGTGACATCTGCTGCAGCTGCAAGGAGATAGACTGGAGGCGGTAAAGCCACTGCCGCATGAAGGGCAGGAGCGGAGGTCTGATTCAGCGGAGTCAGGGAGGCGTACTGTAGGAACCCCGTCCGGACACCGGGACCTCGCCCGGCCCCACCGCTGCGCTGAAGATCAGCGATGGTCATAGATGCCAACCAGGTACCAACTATGGAGGGTGAAGCGTGCCTATGCACTGTAGAGAGATTATGGTGGCCCTGTGATTGTTTGTCAGCGCTATCCCGTGTAATCCCATTAAACTGCTCTGAAGGTGCGACTTTATTCCATATTGTTAAGTCACTAAATTATTAATCTATTGCTTTAATGCCATTTTATTCATGACAGTTTTTTGACATTCCATGTCGCACCAGTAAAAGCCTGTGCTTCTTTACCCCATAAGTTTTTAATTTGCTTTTATATGTATTTGTTAAATTATAGGAAAAAACAACAATGTTAATATTTAATCTTTATTCTTTATATTTGCTATGTTTCAAAACATTTTTCTTTGGATATTGAACTTGAGAATAATATAGTTTTAAATGTATCACTTTGGGGTGGCATTGTGGTGCAGTGGTTATCGCTGTCACATCAAGAAGGTTCTGGGTTCGAGCCCTGGTCGACCTGAGGCCTTTCTGTGTAGAGTCTGCATGTTCTCCCTGTGCCTGCGTGGGTTCTCTCTGGGTACTCCAGCTTCCTCCCACAGTCCAAAGACATGCAGCTTAGGTTGACTGGTGACTCTAAATTGCCTGTACAAGTGAGTGTGGGTGTGTGTGGTTGACTGTTTACATGTCAGACTGGCGACCTGTCCAGGGTGGACCCCATGCCTGATGTCAGCTGGGAGTGGCTTCAGCTCTCCCGTGACCCTGTTTAGGATAAGCATTATAGGTAATGGATGGATGTATCACTGTGAACTTAGAAAATTTGTGATGTACCTTTCTGATTTGAAACTGATTTATATTTTTTTCTGGGTAGACCAAAGAGGAGAGCATCACAGTAGTCCAGTCTGCTGGATATAAAGGAAGGGAGCTCTCAGAGAGATGTGAATGATAGATTATGGATTGACTGGTGACTCTAAAATTGCCACTAGGTCCACGTTCACACTGCAGGCTGAAGTGGCTCAAATCCGATCTTTTTGCCCAAATGCGACCCATATCCGATTTCCTTATGACAGTGTGAACAGCACAAATCCAATTTTTTTCAAATCCGGCCCAGGCCACTTTCATATGTGGTCCTAAATCGGATACATATCCGATGTTTTGCAATGCGACTTCAGTCTGAACGGCCAGGTCGCATTTCATGCGATTTTTATGTCATTGAAATGCAGCAGACGTCACAATTCTGCGCTGGAGGAGGCGAGGCCATAAGCAATATTTGTGCTCTCCTTCTTCTTGATATTCTTATTATTAGTTCTTTATTTTGATTGCACATTAACTGGTACATCGCTACGCACATGCTATCACGAGCCGCATGCATTTTTATTTTTGCAAACACAGTACGCTGCGTCTGACGTCACGTCCTCTTCTGCGCATGTGGGTCACCTCAGGGCCGTATAGTGGGTGTGAGGGTGTGTGGTTGTTTGTATACATGTCAGCCCAGTGATAGACTGGTGGACCCCGCCTCTCGCCATTAAACTGAATGGGAAAGTGTGTCCAAACTGGTAGTGTACACTCATTTCCTGGAGACTAGAGGTGTGAGGATACACTTAGTTCACAAGACGAGACAATATACTATATTGGGTTCGTGAGAATGAGAAAAGACAATATTTTAACACTTTTTTAAAGAAATCTTCAATGACAAAATGTTTAACTGGAAAAAATGTATTTTATTCAACTGAAAGCCACAAAATGCTAAACAACGTATGTGCATTTTGAAATCTTTTAAATTAATAATCTTGTAATGACTACTTTCTGAGTATGAATTATCATATGCAGTAAAATACAATAATATGCAGGCACTATAAAAGGCTTTGCCACAAATTCAATTACCTGGTTTCTCTCCTGTATGATTCTACATGAGCCTCTTCAGACTTTATAATTGTGCATGAACTACACATGAGCTTCTAACTGAAGCTGTGTGTGACCTTCTAGGGTATTTTCACCCTCACCACACTGCACAGAAAAGTGACATCATCCAGTAAAGGCGCTGCGTTGACCAATCACGTATGGGGAATGACTGAGATGTGGATGCCCATGGGAAGAAGACACTTTTGTTTACATTGTTAGTATGAGCATTCGCTGCTATTCACTGGTGAATTTCAGCCACAATTAACACACCATAATGACACACCATGCATTTTCATCAGTACTGGATGAAACAGTTTTTTTTTTAATGTATTTTTTTATCTATCAATACTATCAATCGACACTAATTTCAAATTTCTCCCTAATTTATTTTCAGCCACTAGAGGGTCTAGTGAGACTCAAAACAAACTGACACCATAAGCTGCTCCTAACGGCTCCTTGCCCCTTTCATCACATCCTCTTTCTTATCAGCGATATAATCCATAGATGCCTGGTTGTGACAAACTATACAAAGTGCAACCTCCAGCCTGAAGCTAGTGTTAGCTGACTAACGAGTAAGTTCAGCAGTCCATGGTTACTGCTAATGTGACACAAAGCATGAACTTTCTGCAAATCTTGCATTCTCTGAAATTACAATCATGCTAATTAAACACAAAGGGAAAACTGTGATAGTGCTAAGTCACCAATGTTACCAAACAAAATGGTGTTAACAAAATAAAGAAACCTATTAGCTTTAGATGCTAACATATACAGAAGTAAAAGCGCCACATCGGAGTCAAATTTGAGTTCTTTGGCTGCTTTTAACACCTTAAATCTGAAAAAGCCAAACCAACGTTAGCCCTGGTTTTTGCTCTTTCTCTGTCACGCTCTCTCTGTGTAAAATAACTTTTAGTTGCCAAGAGCTCCCTCATGGCTGGCTGTTAGATATGACTACTTGCTGTCTGAAAATCACTTCTGTAACTTGTGCTAGGTGGCAGGTGGGCCTGATTTACGGACCGTACTTTGACATCATATATGTGTGCAGGCTTGCATACGCTCATGCATATTCAAAATTCATTTCGTTTCTGTGTCAATCATGCAGGTTCATGCAGACTGTGTGTGTGGCTTAGTCTCTAAGTGAACGAGGAGAGAAGGAAATACAGTGGGGAGATGAAGGGAGGAGCACGCTGAGATGGAGAATGGATGGAAGGCAAAAGCAGCCAGGAAAGTGAAGAGGAAGAGGAAGAGAAAGAGGAGGTTGAGAGGAGAATGAGGAAAGGATGGGGGCAGGACAGAGGAGGAAGGAGGCTTCTCCCCTGTGTTTTCCTGCTTTAATTTGTTTTGACAGCACCTCCACTGGCTCAGGCTCTGAACAAGCCTTTATGTTATATTGGAGTGAGAGAGAAACTAAGTATTTCTTCTGTTTCTCTAACATGGTTTAATTGGTGAGACTGATGTACTTCTCTAGTCTCTCATCATGCTAATTATCCAACACCTCTAAAGAAAGTCACTTTCGGCTTTTCCCGTTTTTAGGGGTCGTCACAGCGAATCGTCACACTGACGACTCTCATGTTGACATTTGGCACGTTTTACGCCGGATGCCCTTCCTGAGGCAACCCTGATTCGAACCCAGGCCGCAGCGGCGAGAGCGCAGACATAAGGATACATTGACCTTGACCTTTGACCACCAAAATCTAATCAGACAGACATCCACTTTTCAGTTAATTTGGTGTTAATCTTAAATGAGCAAAAACCTTGATGGATAAAGCTGATGATATTCAGTAATTTTCCTAATGTCAACAAATCCCATTCATAGACCCAAACTAACCTATGTGTTTCATAGGTTAGTTAGTGTTTCATAGGCCTGATATATATCTTAATCATTTATATAGAGCCCCATTATTGTCCAAAGACAATTAAAAACACACCAGTGAGCCCCACTTTTGCACTCAGATATATTCCTTCATCACCATGAACACACACTGTCGTTTATTTTGAGTCAGTTGTGCATATAATACAGTCCTGCTGCTACCAATACCATACTCTCTTGAACAACAAATGTGCATTAATCCACACAGGAACATGCCTGAGTAAAATTATACAGGGGCCTATTTCAAGAAGGCGGTTTTGTCGAAACGCAGAGTTTGTTAACCCCGAAATGAGGGAAACTCGGAGTTTTCGGTTTCAGAAATGGAGGTAACTTAAACCCGTGAAAGCGGGGTAAGTTAAACCCGTTTCACAAAGAGAGGTAATCTAAACTCAGAGTCAGTTACTATGGCAACTTACTCTGTGAACCTAACCTGCTGGCGAGCAGGTTTTGTTCGGGAAACTCAGTTCAGGTTTGAACTCTGAGTTTGTTAAACCGCCTTCTTGAAATAGGCCCCTGCTCCCAAGCAGGTTAGGTTCACAGAGTAAGTTGCCATAGTAACTGACTCTGAGTTTAGATTACCTCTTTTTGTGAAATGGGTTTAACTTACCCCGCTTTCACGGGTTTAAGTTACCTCCGTTTCTGAAACCGAAAACTCAGAGTTTCCCTCATTTCGGGGTTAACAAACTCTGAGTTTCGACAAAACCGCCTTCTTGAAATAGGCCCCAGGTGCTGCCAAACAAACCTGAGCTACACAACCTCCTCTACACCACGGTCACATGAAAAGAGGACAGACTATACAAGCACAGAAGAAGCACAGCCAAGCAGTAAACTGAAACACACAGCTATGAGTTTCCATCATAACGGTCCAGGTAAAAAGCTTGGATGCTTGTGGATGGATAATTAGACAGTAGGATGGCAGGTCTAGAGAGACAACACTGTGTTTACTTCTGAATCTACATGTAGGTCACATGTTGGAAATAGAAGCAGCATGATTTAAAATTGGTAATCTTGTTGGCTGTCACATATTAATGTAATCGGAGCAGGGTGCTGGGACACAATAATTCCCAAAAGCCTGATGCTGGCAGATGTAATTTCTTCACTCCATTGTTCAGGGCTTTTTATAGTCGCGTGGCACGCGCCTAACTCTGAGTCAAACATCTCAGAGTTGATTAAACCAACTCTTTTCAGCTGTTCTGAAACCGAAAACTCCGAGTTTTCCAACTCTGGGTAAGTCAACTCAGAGTTCAGGTTTGAAATTTGAGTTTGTTAAGCCGCCTTCTTGAAATAGGCCC